GCGAAGAAGACGTTGAACAGCAGTGGGGACATTGAGCACCCTTGTCGTAATCCCTGCGTGACCGGGAACCAGTCCGATAGCTCCCCATCGTCCGTGCGGACCCGGGCCCGCATTCCGACGTGGAACTTGCGGATGACGGCGATCATCTCCGCGGGGATCCCGGCCCGGGCCAGCACCTTCCACAGCAGCTCCCGGTCCACCGAGTCGTAGGCCTTCTGCAGATCGATGAAGCACATGTAGAGCGGGATTCTCCTCCTCCGCCCCAGCTCCTGGAGTCGGCGCACAACGAACAGCATGCATACCGTGGATCGGCCAGGCCGGAACCCGCACTGTTCCTCCGGGAGGATTTCGTTGGCTTCGCAGAATGCGCTCAGGCGGTTGGTGATGGTCTTGGCGAGTATTTTGCCTACATGCGAGAGCAGCGAGATGCCCCTGAAGTTGTTGCAGTTCGACCGGTCACCCTTCTTGTACAACACCTTAATGATGGAGTTACAGGATCTGGTCCACGAACCAACAGAGTGGTGAATCCGCGATGCATAAGGTCTACGAGCAACAGCTCCATCGGTCGATGGAGCCTTGCCATGCATGGTATTTTTTTCTTTTCTCATACAGGCAGTGCTGTGCGAAGCCAATATACTTCTGCTCTACATTGGGGGGGAGTGGGGTCACCCTCCGAGGGAGGACGCTCTGGAAGATTGGTACCTCGGAGGGAGTGCAACGTACTGCCTTTTTTTTTTTCTTCGCAAAGACCAGGATCCCCCGGCGCGGTACAAAGTCCGAGATATCGGGGGGGGGGGGGGGGGGGCGGGGGGCGTACTCTCATGTTTTGCATGTCTTAGCGGTTAGACAATTGACCACGCGTCCTCGAGAGGACGGAGCATTGTTCCCACAGGACCGATCACCGATGGTCAATCGTTCCTTCCCGCCTTTTCAACCCACCTCCTATGCCCCACTACAGCTACCGTCCTTTCCTCTCTATTCCATGCCTCAAACATCTCCCGGTACGTCCTATCTATTTTTTCCAGCTCAGTCACGTACACGTCCCTCTCCTTCCTGTACAACGGACATTCCGCGACTACATGAACACGGTCTTCGCATTCGAAGCCGCAATCACATTTGAACTCGTCGTCTTCCTCGTCTACCGTCCTATGTCTTCGTCGACGTTCTCGAAGGCCTATGTCCCCGGTCCTGAATTTGACCTTAAGCTTTGTTCCTGCATCCATTGGTCCATGTAGGTAGTCCTTGAACCCTATTCCTTCCTTCAACATTCCGTACACTTCTAGACCCTCCTTATCCTTGGATTCTTTCCTCAGATTCTGTTCTTCTCTCTCGGCACAAGCAACAGATATCTTCTCCTTGAACCCCTGTAGACCCTCCGTTTCCAGCGTTTCATCTTCGTCGATGTCGAGCCCCTTCCATACGTCCTCTACAACCTTGACCCATTCCGTGGGTTGTCTACCCCTCTTTTTGTTTGCCCACTACACCTCCCATACAATTCTCGGCAACGTCTCCTCTCCCCTCCCGCACATATGATACTGTAATGTCAGCTTCCTCGCGTCTCTTCCCGCCCGTAGGGATTGGATCCGAAATTCTGCCCTCACGGCTGCATTGCTTGTGCGCCTGGAGCATCCAAGGATGGTTTTCGCTGCTTTCATCTGCGCCGCCTCGAGTTCTTTCACTACCTTCTTATTTCCTTCCCATACTTCTCCGGCGTACTCTAGCGGCGGTACGATTACGCTCTTCAAAACCGTCAATTTGATGCGTGTATCGAGGTGCCGGTTTGCGAGTATTGGATGCAGCTTCCCTGCTCGTGATTTGCCCTTTTCCGCTACCTTGGACATGTGTGCATTCCACGAGCAGTCTTTTGCGATCTCTACTCCAAGGTATGTGTACTGGTCCACTACTGCAATCTCCTCGATCCCCCACTTCCATCTATGTTCTACTGGTTCCTCCTTGTTCTCGTTGCATACCATGACGGCACTCTTCTGAACGTTGGCAGACAATCTCCACTTATCAGTAAACTTCTTCGCCGCGTCAATTTGCAGTTGCAGTCCCTCAGGGGTGTCCGACATACCGACAAAATCATCCGCAAACAGCATTCCTGAAACCGACGTTTCCGTGTCCCCTACTTTTACTCCCTTCCGGACTGCCTCTACGACTTCCAACAGATCGTTGATGAACACCTGGAACAATGTTGGGGACAGCGTGCAACCTTGTGGGACCCCCTGCTCAATGTCGAAGAATTTTGACAGTTCTCCGTCTAGCATGACCGCGCTTTTCGTGCACTCTGTCATCTTCTTCAGCACTCTCCACATTTTCCCCTTGATCCCGTATTTGGACAGTTGTTTCCACAACCCATTTCTCCACACGGTGTCGTATGCCTTTTTCACGTCCAGGAAGAAGCAGTACGTCGGCTTTCCCGCCCTCTTTCTACCTTGGATGATTCTCCCTACCGTGAACACGTGGTCTACGCACCCCCTCTTCTTGCGGAAACCTGCCTGGCCCTCACTAATGCTATGTTCCTTCTCCAATACTCCCACTATCCTATCGTTCAGCAGCTTACAGAACTCTTTTCCTACTGTGCTCAACAGTGTGATCCCCCTGCAGTTTCCTGGGTCAGTCTTGTCTCCATTCTTAAACAAGTTCACAACCACTCCTTCCCTCCATCTACTTGGCGTATACTCGTTTTTCCACACCCAATTGTATAGCAGTACCATCAGCTGGATCATCCCCTTCCCCCCAAACTTCATGAACTCGTTGACTATCCCATCCGCTCCTGCTGCTTTGTGGCACTTCAGCTTGTTCACACACGCCTCAACCTCGTCCTCAGTGAACTCCTTTTCTAGTTCTACGTTCCCAACGTCTGCCTTCGATGTCTCTTCTTCTTTTTGGGCCCATGCGTCCACCTCCCCCTTACACACTTGGTCAAAAGCTTCATTCTCCGAGGGCACTCCAAGTCTCTTGTAGTGTCCTGCTAGAACTTCCCTTTTTCCCTTCCCACTGCTGACTAATCCACCGTTCACACCTCGCAAAGTTGCGACCCCTGTATCCCCACCTTGCGCGGTCTTTTTTACCATTCCACTAATCCCTTCCCACATCTGCTTGACGTTTCCCTCCAGACCTCCGTTGGCCTTCTGCACTACTTTGTCTCAAATACACATTTTCTTCTTTTTCACTAGTCCCTTCACCTGTTTTCTCTTGGCCCTGTACTTTTCCCAACTCTCCTCAGACGCCTCACTCAGGTACTGCTTGAAGACTTCTCTACGTTCCCCTATTTCTCCTTTCAGCTCGTCATCCCACCACTTAACCGATACCCCAATCGTACCACCTTCTTTCCCACTACTCTCTCTGCCGTTGCGTTCACGATTGG